AAATTACGACGCACCAGGCGCCCCTGCCTCATTTTTTTATCGATGCACTTAATTTGACTCAATCACGATTCGGATGGACCATAGTGACAGCTGGTTCCGCGATTATTAGGGCCGAGATAAAAATATAAAAATAATAATAGCGCGAGAGGAGCAAAAAACCAAAATAAATTGGCCAAAACATATATATAAATTGAATAAATGAAACATAAATATAAATATTTTAATAAATGAAACATATATATAAATTGAAAACTATGTAAACTTAGCACTAACATTTTTAAAAATGAATTTTTTTATACAAACAATGATAAAATTTCGACTGTAGTTGTTTATAGCAACATTAATTGTTTGTATCTTTATCAATTACAAAATAAAAAAAGACAACGCAAACAGATTTGAAATTACTAGAAGTGAAATGTTCCGAATCTATGTGAACAAAACACTTTTTAAAAATTAATTTTTTAATATAGAAAATTACAGCATTTCGTTAATAGTTATTTGTAGTTACACTAACATCAATTGCAGTTTTATCAATTAAAAAATATAAAAAAGGACTGCGCAAGCAGATTTGAAAAATCTTAAAGAAAGGAACTCTGATCATTTAAAAAATTTTTCTTTTTTAACGGATAAAAACAACGAACGATATTAACATACGAAATTACTGTACTATAAGCCATTATAAACAATTCCAAAAAAAGACTGTGCAAGCCGATTTGAAATATCTTAAAGTTGGGTGCAAATTTTTTAAATCTCCTTTTTCGATATACATACATTTCGATTGAGAATGCTAAAAACAACTACAAACGATTCTAAAAAAGACTGCGCAAGTCGATTTGAAATATCTTAAAATTTGATACTGATGACACTTTAATTTTTCGCTTGAAGATTAACAACGATCTATCTCTGATTAAAGACTTCCTCGAACTTGGGAATTTCACACATTTAGATATGTGAATCTGGCACTATCTGCCTTTAGGACATTAATTTTTTAATATGAAAAATGATATAGTATTTTTCCTTCATGCGTAGTCAATGTAAAAATAAATTTATTAAAATTATGACCAAGTCCAAACTTTAAGATAACTCAAATTCAAATGCGCAGTCTTTTTTAGAATCGTTTGTGTGTTTTTAGTAATTTTTGTTTCGCTTGTAATTACACTGTTTGAAAATTATAATAGTTTGAAAAAATTGTCAAAAGTAATTTTCGTCAGTTTTAAAGATTTTTTATGTCTGCTTTTTTCATCGAAATATATTTCGATTGAGAATGGTAAAAACAACTGCAAACGATTCTAAAAAAGATTGCGCAAGTTAATTTGAAATATCTTAAAGTTCGGTGCTAGTGACATTTGTTAATTTCTCGCTTTAAGATAGATATCGGTCTATCTCTGATTAAAGACTTCTTCGAACTTCGAAATTCCACGCATATAATTATGTGAATCTAATACCTGCCTTTAGGAGATTAAGTTCTTAATACGGAAAGAAATATACGTATTTCGTTCGTGCGTAGTCAATGTAAAAATAAATATATTAAAATTATGCGCAGTCTTTTTTAGCATTATTTATAATTGTTTGTATACTGACTTTCATTTCGTTTGTACTTGCACGGTTTAGAAATTACAGTAGTTTAAAAAAACTGTCAAAAGTGATTTTCGTCAATTTTAAAGATTTTTAAATTCTGCTTTTTCCAGCGATATTTTCAATTGCGAATGCTACAAACAATTACAAACGATACTAGAAAAGACTGCGCAAGATGATTTGAAATATCTTGAAGTTTGCATTTTATTCAATTATATGGTGAAACTCCAATAAAGTTATGATGGATTAAAAATGATGTAGTTTTGTAAATATGAAAAAAATAAATAGATATATTTATCAATATTAAGTTTTATAACTTGAAAAATAATTTTGTCGAAGATGAGTTTATATATTTAAGTGATTTTCCGAACTATGTAATATAAACAAAAAATAAACTCACATTGCGTTGAGTAGATTATCTAACCTCTCTGCTTTACTACATCGGCTTTAATGTTCCTCTGCTGCTCTGCTATAATCCCATATGATTTGGCACATACACTGATCACTGCATTGCTTTTTCTATTATTTTCTATTTGCAATAATTATTTATCACTTCACTATACACAGTGAGATGCACTTCGAAATAAACGGACGATACGAAAAAAATAACATCACTCGCGAATGCATTCGGCACTTTCGATCCAGCTCGATCACGTTCGATATCGCATTCGCGAATAAAAACACGAACAAAATAATATATTTTTTCGATTCCGAGAAAGCGAGCGTCCGAGCGATTCCATATAACAATTAATTATATTCTCGCGATCAGAATATTATTAATCACATTGAACATCGATATGCCTTTAGATTACTTGGCGACATCTCCCGGCGCGCCGCGTCATCACGTGGCATCGCGAAGTGAGCGGGAAGTGTCATGGCGGAGGGACACTCTTGCGCGCCATGCCCGTTGCGCGGATAGTCTCGGTACCAAAATATCTCAAGAAATTTGAATTTTGTCAACTTCGATGAATTCGCGCTTTTCTTCGATACTCAGGCACTACAGGAGATGCTGGCGTGTTCGCGAAACTCCTCGTCGAGCGGATAATTCCTAAATACCGCGCGAGAGCTGCTGTATATAACGAAATATAATCAAAATACAATCGAAAATGATATTTTAAGTGATAGTCCCTTCTCGCTTCCCCTTCACCCTTCCCCCTTACCCTCCCGCAGCTCGCTACTTCCGCGAATTCGCGATGCTCTGAGACTCCCGGACACCCGTCGACGCCGGGATACACTTTGAAACGATACAGAATCCTCGCGAGGCTCTCGGGAGCCGAAATACACGCGAAAATTACGGCGAAACAATATCTGAAGCAAGAAACGTCCCCTTCCCTCCGCCCATCAATTCGCGATACTCGGGCTCCCGGGTCCTCGTCGACGCCCGGATGTTCTTCGAGAAGATTATTCGAGCCATCGCGTCGAAACACGACACTCCCGGACATGCACTCCCGTTTACTCGCGCACGAAATCTAGACGAGACGCGGAGCACTCGCGACGCGCACTATGCTCCTTCACCGCTGGGCTCGCACTGAACGGTGGGACAGTTGAAGCACGTCGTGACGTCACGTCAGAATCGGCCGATTTCATGTATTACTACGCGCGGGAGTTTTTAATTATGTACATAATTTCAATTCGACTTTTCATTATGCACATTATTTTAATTATTATTTTTTATTATATACATAATTTTAATTCTTGAATTTCTTTTGTGCACATAATTTTAATTCGCCGTATTTCTATATTATGTAAATAATTGAAATTGTATATACATAATAGAAATTCAGCTAATTAATATTATGTGCATAGGTCTAGTTTACATTGATTATTTGATACACGTATCAAATGCCGTACTGACGAATCACAGCCATTCTTCTAAAGAATAGAATGACTATGATTGGTCAGTAGTACGTATTAATACGCGTATTAAAGTATATCGATGTAAATTAGACCATAATAGAAATTTGATGAAAAAATTATAAATATATAATAGAAATTCAAGAATACAAATTATTTACATGATAGATATTCAGCAAATTAAAATTATTTACATCTCGCGCTTATTACGATCGCGATCACGATGTTGGTCCAGGTGACACGATCACATTTATATGGTAATTAACAGCGATAATTACATAATATACACATATACTCGTACTTCGTGGACCGGACCAGCAAAGTGTACGTCATTGACAGTGTTGTGCTTAGATGATTAAAATTAGCTAGATAAAAATAAAATAAATATATGTAAATTCATCTTGGATAAGATGAAGATAATTTAGTTTTAAATATATCTAGATAAAAAATAATATTATTTATCTAGATAATTTTCTAGATAATAATTTTTAAGACTGCTTACGTAAATACAGTTATAAAAAAAGTAAGTTATAAAAGGGATATAAAAATATATGTATATATATTCATATTTTTATTTATAAATTTTTATCGCTTACTAACACGTCGAAAATGTAAAAGTTAAAAACCCGGACGTCGTCGCGCGTCACAAACAAAAAAAAATAACGCGAGTGTAAGTGTTTCGAAGCTTCTTCTAGGAAGAAGGAAGGAGACCCGGGGTGGCATCAGGCAATACCAGAACAAGATGTAAATTTTTGTTATTTAATTTTTACAAATTTTATTAAAAAATTTAGATCTAAAAAAAATTTTATAATAAAATAAAAATAATTTATAAGTTTTTAATTAAATATCTATTTTATTTAAAAAATACAAAATTCAATGTAAATATAATTTTATTTTTTGAAATTGATTATTTTAAATTTTACTCTAATTCATTATATATAATTTCATATTTATTAATTTGTATTTATATTTTACAGTCTACAACACTATTACACTGCTATGCTGGTATCGGTGAGTCCCATCAATTTCCATTGAAATTTTGGATAATAATTTTGTGAAAATTATGTATGAATAAAGAGAGATGTGTATCGCAAACAATATATGAGCTTGAACAAAAATGAAAAAATAATATCAAATAAGAAAGTGTAAAGCTTATAAATTAATGCCATAAGTTTTAATATAGACTTATGCCAAAAAAAAATAATATTTGAATATTGGATCATATTTTTATGCTATAATGAATTAATTAAAATAGTGAATTTTCAAGAGAAACAAAATTGTTATAAATAAGTGATTTTAATCATTCAAATGAAACGAAATTTTACAGTATGTAATAAAAAATACACAAATTTAAACGTTTACATACATGAAATATTCCAATTTCATTAAACAGTTATATTTATCTTATAATTCAAAATAATAAAATCAATTCAGAATTTACCTACTTTATCTTTATTTTTTTCTGTTAAAACTATATTTCTTAAATAATTTTGTTTTCTTTCTACAAGATTGAGAAAGATATGTAATTATAAATATCACTGGCTATATATATTTTATTATAGTTGTGCATATTTTTCAAGTTATGAATTATTTATTACATGCAATATTACATTGAATAATAGTTAATTTATATTTCATTTGCAATTTCACACACTATATACAAACATCTATGTATAACAAAATTCAATTATTTATGCGGTGGCCATGTCCACTGGTTAGGCGGTGCTTCCTGCATTAATTTCTCCCATGGTTTCCACATCAACATCTTTTCTGCCAGTATCATCTCATTCTTTGCTTGTACTAGAAGTTCCTCTACTTGTCCGCAGCCTATCTTGTTTTCTATAGCTTGTACATCGGCAGTCTACAAAATAGGATACTTAATTAGGAACAATACAGAATATTATTTCAGAATAATTGTTGTTACTTTAATGAGTATTAGCATCACCTCTTTCACGATCTTCAATCGATCTTTGACAACCTTCTCTGTTTCTTTTCGATAAGCATAATCCTTTGGAAACTTCTCCAACATTCGCAAAATTCTATTGTACAATGGAGTTAATTCTAAATGAGGTCTTGTGCAAACAGCCAATCCTTTTATATGTGTAGTCTGCAAACGAAAAACGATAATAATTAATAAAGTTAATACAAAATTAGTTTTTCCACAGAGCTTTACATATAAATATGTATAAATATGAATATTGTTAAATATAAATTTTCAAGTTACATAACAGATGACATTCTTGATATTAGATTTTATCAATATTAGCTGTATTCATTATTGAATTTATAAATAAACTACCTTTTTGATAGCACCTGCCATTGTCAATGATATTATTTAACACTTGACGTATTTTAATGGTCTTTTTCACACGAATTATCAGCTCTCTAACCTTAAATACACTTTAACGCCATCCAAGAAGGAAGGCAGTGCGCTTGTAGCGACATCATAATTTAAATGCATATATTTTATTTTTAATAAAAAAAATTTTTTATTGGTCTTTCTTTAGTATTTTTAATGAAAAATTGATTTGTACTTTACACAAGATTAATTAAATTCAATCAAGAATTCTATAATAAACAATTGATTTTCTCAAGTCCACAAAATTGCATAAGAAAATAAAAATAAAAATAAATTTTCAAAATTTCTAAGTTATGACATAAATTAAATTATTTAACCCATATTCTTTCAAAAGTCATATTCATTGACCAATTTTAATTCTAATGCAAAGAATTTTAATTCAAGGATTGTTACGATTGACATGTTGAACTTTAACAGTCAACACTAGAAATTATAGGGATTTTTTCTTAAGAAATTTCTTATAAAATAAAATAACAAGTACTTTAAAGATAGAACGTTTATTTTTTCCAATATTGAGAGTTATGTTTATCGATTCGATTTGGCAACGCGCTCCAGTTCGTCTTTCTTCTTAATTGCATAAGAATTTGAGGATCCTTTAGCGGCGTTGATAAGTTCATCGGCTAAACATTCGCCGATTGTTTTGATGTTGCGGAATGCGGCTTCTCTCGCGCCAGTACACAACAACCAAATAGCTTGATTAACACGACGTAAGGGAGATACATCCACAGCTTGTCTCCTTACTGTACCAGCACGTCCAATACGCGTAGAATCTTCCCTTGGCCCAGAATTAATGATGGCTGTGACAAGAACCTAAAACACAAATATTTTAATTTAAATATGTGATATTATCAGTAATATTTTAATATTATAATAAAATAATTTACAATAAAACAGTTATATATTAAGACATTTGATTTAAGTTCATTATATAAAAGCTTTTCTTTATTTATTTTTTACTTTTCTTGTTCCTTACTTTATAATTTTAAAAATCCAGATTTTTCTATTAAACATGGATTTTGTAATTATAAAATAAGGAACAAAAAAGAGAGAACAGAAAACATTTCTTTTATATAATAAGTTTTTAAATTAAACTTCTTAATATATAAAATACAATATCAAATTATTCATATGAAAAATCAATAATGTTAGCAAACTTTAAATAAATAATCAATTCACCTGCAAAGGATTCTCGCCAGTAAGAAGGTGAATAATTTCAAAGGCATGTTTCACAATTCGCACAGCCATCAATTTCTTTCCGTTGTTTCTGCCATGCATCATAAGAGAATTTGTGAGACGTTCCACAATGGGACACTGAGCTTTGCGAAAACGTTTTGCTGCATAACGTCCTGCTGAATGGGGAAGATACTTGGCATTCTTCTCTTTCACAGCGATGTAATCTTGTAAAGACATGTCATTTACTTGTACATCATCACAATTCCAGCGTCCGAACAACTTGATCTCAGGTAGTTCAGCTGGCATTGCTACTGGCAATGTATTTGTGGTTGCCACCACCATGTCGTCGAATACTTCTTTCTCATCCATGTTTATCTGTAAAACAAAAGTAGTCTCACTTATTCTTGAAATAAAATACAAGATGTATGAAAAAATTATGTTTTAAAGAATTACGATATGCTCAGTAATTTCTAGAAATAATTTCCCAATAACTTTTACACGATACAGCATAACTTCTTATCATAAATATATGTTCATCGCAACATACTGTGCAAACACATTTCAGACTAACAAAAGTAGAGTGTTAGTAAATGATAAACATAACTAGATTTGAAGTATAGTGATGATAATTTGCTTATTCGAAGACCTCATAAGAGAGAGAAAGCATGTATTTATATTTTTGTTTTAGATCAAATAATAGTCAACATATAATATTAAAGCAAGTACAGATACGAAAAGATACGATTTTCATGCCGTGGCAAATCGATCGTTGGTGACATAGACGAGGTAATACATTCTTTAAATTCTCAATGAAGAAAAAAATTCTCGAATGGGAATGAAATTGGTAAGACACATGTGGCCACGCGGTCACATGCCGCATGCGTTTTCCGCGTGAAATCCCACACGTATTTTCGCACCTGTACGATCACTCGCGGTTCCTGGCTGCTCTGAACCACTCGACAATATCAATTTGCACTGCCTCGGCACGAAACTGTCTCGTCGTAATGGTAATTCCTATTTTACAACTTACATTCACGTCTTCGTCCGTACAGGCGTGAACAGGAAAAGGCCATGAGGCTACGCGTGCGCCATCTGCATGCCGGAAATGGCGGATCTCGGACTATGTCAGTCAACGTTCGAACGTAACGTCAAAAGCACGTGGAAACGAGACGCTTTTAATGACAGTTTCGGTATTCGCGCGTGTAAATGTAACGCGAATAATACGCGATTGATCGGAGGTAAAAGTGATAATGACACGAATAAATCATTGGAAAGTGCAAGATTGCTGATTTGACTATCGAGTACCAGAGTCTTCTCTTTTCGTAGTTCTCTGTAGCTATATATATTATACTTTCTACATTCAAAATCAAGTGAGTATGTAATTAAAAGAAAAGAGAAAATTGTAGTGATCGGAAAAGATAGATTGCAGTTCTTAGTGTAGTAAAATTAACGTCGCGATAAGTCGTTTACTGGCCTTCCTTCGATATAGATCATTTCGCGAAAACGTGTAGATGTTATAGGTTACAAAATGCACTTTTATCGCGATGGACGTAACAGTGTGAAAAAATTAATTGAAATTATATGAAACAATAAAGCGGGACGCGATAAAAGTTTTGTATTTTCCGAAAAAGTGCGCGAATGCAAATTGTATGTGTTTGTGTGTGACATCGTCGACTGAGTAAGAATATTGGAACGTAATTCGGAGATTTCTCAGCAGATGTCACCACTGATATGTTTTCTGCATCATCGAAGCTGCATCGAAAAGGTCAGGAAAAAGAATTTTTATACAATTCTCTTTTTTTATTATTCGCCAAAAATCTCTTTATTTTTGTTATTCAGAAATGTGTTTGCACATTATATTGCAATACATATATATTTATGATAAGAGTTATGCTGTATCATGTAAAAATTTGGTACGCTTTTTATATAACTCTCTTTATATATATTTATATAATTTTCTTTATATTATATTTATATAATTCTCTTACTATTATTATATTAGTAATTTTATCAATTGCGCACATTCCTGAGTATGTTCATTGATATAAAAAAAGAATTGTGAAATATATATTTTCACGATAAGAGGGTTGGATACGCACGCATATTAAAATGGAAATAGCTTGGAAGACGGTATTCAGAAGTGCAAAAATTTTTAATTATATTTTTCGGCAAAGCCATCGCGATCGATTATTGCTATTTTAGGGACAATCGAAGCGAGTCTAGACAATAGAGAGTCGAAAGAGGAAATTCGTTTGTAAATCGGTTAATCCTTCGATAATCTGGGTCAACACATATTCATGGTGGCACATATCCGAAACAATCACGGCCGTAATAATCTGTTATTTCGTAGGTAGTCCCTGTCGTCGACAAGGGCCCGTAGAAAGCGTACACAGAGGGTCATGGCGAGTGAATAGGGTTGAAATCGTGCTCGCCGAACGAGCAGAGGGTAGAAAGAGATAGAGGGAGAGAGTAGGGAAGGACGAGGGTGGAAGAGAGGATGAGAGGGCTCAAGCAACCGTACGGTATGAGAAATTTACGATCCACCGTCCGGATTGCTAACCCATCTCGGGTTCCACTTTATTACTTTAAGTAAGATCCGACGTGGAGGCAGTAAAATTCGTATATGAGCGAATCGCCGTCGACGAGCTTCGACGCGCGTAAATATCTAATGGTTCACGTTGGCGGCATCCGTGTATCGTGAAAACGCGAAAATCATCATCGTCGTCTATAAACATCCGTGTGATTCGTTTCCAGAAATCGGTTTCGATTAGGTATACGTTTGTAAAGCTATAGCTTCAAACACGCGTCTATTTGCGATTCACGATTCAGGAATAATACAAAAAATCTGATCGATCGAATTTGACAAATCTTTCATTTACATCTAGCATTAGCATAAAACTGATTAGTTATTAAAATGTTCTCTCTTGCTGTTCGCGTAATCTTAAAAAGATTTTAAACAAATATTTCTATAAAACTTTGCATCCATAAATAATCGTATATTTAGATAATAATCGTTCTTTTTGAATATATATAAATTATGTAGAAAATATTCAAATATATCAAAAATTTTAATTTTCTAACAATTAAAAAAAAAATTAACAAAAAGAGAAATTGCTCTAGAATAAAATTATTAAAATTATTATATACAAATATAATCTTGGTACTTGTACATATTTCACACACACAGGATCAACGTTATTAGTTATTGCATCCAAATAAAATCGCATAATAGTTCGAGAGAACGTATCTCGACAGTCTCGCGGTAAATCTTATGGAAATTAATTCAGCAATGTAAAACGTTTCGTTATAAAACGCATTTGTCCGATCCCTAACTCCCATTTATAACGAGGGTCTTCAGTGTCTCCGCTAATTGGAAACTTCGCTTCTATGGACAGACTACAAGGACGACGACGACGATGATGATGACGACGAGCGTCTTTATCGAAAAAGCGGTCGCAGTGAAAGAGCGCGCGGAACGCGAAAAAAATTGCGATAGAGCTAGCTATCCGTCGACGAACAACTACGTTGCGAGCGCGGTCCATTTCGCCCCCGTTCTCTCGCCCCATTGTCTTCTTCATTACGTAGGTATCCCGCGCGAATATAAACGCAATTAAGCGCGTCGCGTCATCGTTAAAGCCCCGTAATTGCATTCGCGTAAAAGCAATTACGACTTCACCGACGGCGATGAGTCGACCGCTTCTCTCCCTCTCTTTCCCTCTCTCCCCTTTTTCTCTCTCTCTCTCTCTCTCTAATGCACCCCTATTAGCATAAATAGTTTATAAACCGACGTACGGCACTTTATGCGCGACATCGCTCGGTACGCGACCGGTGTTCTCTCTAACGAGGCGAGAAGGATACATCTATCGAATTTTGCCAATAAACGTACCCACGAATTTTGGAACTGCGAAATAAAGCGGTTGTATAATTATTTTTCAATTTCATTATATTGAATGCGGATTTATTCCGCGATTATCTTCTCAAAAAACCTATGTGTAATAAAAAATGATACGTTTAATTTGATAGAGACAATTTTTGACAATTTGTGAACATTATTTGCTACATGATTTTGTATATCAACTCTTTAACAATGTAATAGCCAAAGAAAAATCTATTTTTAATAGATTTTTTTATTATTATGAAATTATTAATATATATTGTAACTAAATAGACTAAATTGATCTAAATAAAATTCAACGCTACACTCGTTCGACGCGTTGTATATTTCGGATAAACTCCTGACAAAATTAGGCAATAAAGGATTGCGCTCTAGAATTCACGGATTTGTTCGCCAATAAAACCGTCCGGCACTTGTTGACTTGTCAGCGAGAGAAACCCGTTTACATCGCCGACAACGTAGTTGTCTACAAGAGAATCGTCGGCGTAAACGCACCTTTAAGAATGTCTCCGCTGGGCGGCATTATTGCACTTTGCTCTGTAAGCGCCTGCCGCTTCTTCCTCTCTAAGTCGACTCTTCGTGTTCTCTCATTTCGCCTTACTGTTCTTATTCTCTCTCCTTCTTCAGTTCGTCGTTCTCCCTTCGTCGGCAGGGGGTGAAGCGAGGAACCCTGCTGAGGCGAGTTACGTTATATTCTGCGGCTCGTAGCCTCATATCGTATTATTGTCATGTTCCCTCGACACGAGGGGAGCCTGAGCAAGGGGGAAAAGAATGAGGGAGAGAGAAAGATAGAACAAACGACAGAAAAGAGTTCTCCTAACACACTATTCGTTGTATTCGCCGGTGTTGGTGCCTATGCACGTTGAAACCGCTCGCTCGTGCGAGATAAATCGAAATACATCCTCGAGATCTCGCATACGCTGTTATTTCCCGGTAGCTCTCCGTGCGTTCCCAGCTTCCTTCTTCCAATCCGGAGCAGAGAGATGCTGCTGCATACACACATACGTACACGCACGCATAAATGCGCGCATACACTTCACTTGTCGCCGTTGTAATGGAGCAATCTTTCCGCCACAGTTCGCTCTTCGCTCGACAGCGCGTCGCGGTAAATAGCGCGCATGCATCCGAGATGCATTCGTTTCGCGGCAATTTTTTTTTTTTTTTTCAATTTTTCTCGTCGACTCGATGGCTCGCTTCGAGTAGATAACCGACGAAAACGCAAGTTGATCTTGAAATGAGTATAAAAATCGAGAAGCTTTTGAATAAATAATATATCTGCGTTTACTAATGTTATGCAAAATTGCTTAATTAAAACAATTCGAGTTATCGGAATAATACTCGAGGGCTTAAAGTAGATTTATCTTTTAAAAAAAGCTGAGCTAACTAGTATTACGTACTGCGCGTAAATCTTTAATGAATCTTAATGATGATGCTGCGCAAGAGCTCTCTCCGTTTACATAGGCGATAAACGCCTAAAGCCATTCGCGGATTGTCCATTTCCGATTGCGTTAGTCGGGAGCTTAATACCGTTGTGAGATAATTATGTTTCCCGGCAATACTCATTCGCGATAATTTCACCCGTCGAGCATCAACGTCGATCCCTCGATCTTACGCGCGTCGCAACGTGTAACGCCTAATTGGCTAATTATCTCCTCGTCGAGGCTCCTCTGTCCGAGGCGAAAAGGTTAATTATCGTGACAAGAGATCGAGACATCGATTATGCGCGCAGAACAGGCTAAATGAATTAGCACTTTGAGACATCGTGGATTATGGCTCGAGCCATACGGACGAATCCTTGAGATTCCGAATCGTTACTTGATATATCAAGAATCTGATTTCGAACTTATCGCGACAATCATCAAAATTTCTCTCGCTGTCAAAAAAATGTACGTATTGCAAGTTTCTATTCTTGAAACTTTTTAACAGAGTTTGATATCTCACGCCGACAATTATTTTTTATTGTATTGTATTTGAAGAAAGTCTTGTCGTTTATTAAATTAAAATAAGACAGAGTTCGAAGTATTTAGAGTAATTTGATCAACTTATTTGTTAGTAAATTTCTTGTGTGTAAGAAACTGCAGTGTTATGCATATATGTATAACTTCTCTATTCAATTTTTCTTTTTTTAAAAAATGGTATACTGCAAAGAGAACGAAGGTAGCTACTTTCCATCTCAA